AATACCTGTGTCGTAGAAGTCTGCCGCCTGGGATTGGAACCACTGTGTGACAACCATCTCCGCCTCTCTGTCAGTCTCAAAACGCTGACGCTGACTGGACAGGAATTTCTTGAGGTGTAGGAAAAGATGGAAATCACTGGGAGCGAGGTCCGGGCTGTAGGGTGGATGATTAAACACCTCCCAGCTGAACTCCTGCAGGAGACTTGCTGTCCGTCGAGCCGTGTGCGGCCTAGCGTTATCGTGCAGGGAAACTTACTTTTGGGACGCGCCTCGTATAGTTTCACTGCATAAAGCGTGCTTCCAACATAGAAAAATACCTATCATTGTAACTATTAAAGGTATTTGTTCACCTGAGCTGCCTTCAACAACAAACTCTGTTGGTTCTGTGTCTTCCTCCTGGGGTGAAGAAACCCTCCTTAGAGCAGAGTGGAACATCTTTACTGCACGCCTTGTAGCATCGACAGACCTGCACAGAAAACACAAATTACTCACAATTTATATTTACATCTACATACTGAAGAACTGAGAATTCATCAAAAGAAAAAATTCCTAATTATATTAAACCTTAGGAAAGCGAGGACTGGGAAGAAGACTGATACAGCTAACCGATGATCTGAAACAAGGAAAGAAGATGAAGTTCCAGGAATTAAAATGAGAAGCTGAGAATAGGGAAAACTGGAGAGCTCTTTTTGAGCAGAGCAATGGACCTGTCATAAGACAGAACACTGAATAATAATAATAATTAAACCTTGTACAGGATACATTTTAAAGGCAGATTTCCACTTCTTTCCCTTAGCCTAAGAACATTCCCATGGAGAAATATGGGAGTATGAGGGTAAAGCTCCACACATTCTCTTAACATTGGCACCAAACAAGAAGAGGAGAGGAGAAGAGAGTGGTCAGTTCCATATTTTGGCAAGTCCTTTGGAAAATAAACCCCAAATTTTTCATGCACAAACAAATGTTTCACATGAAATGTTTTTTTGTAACTACATAAGATCTGAGGTTCCCACATTGGTAAAGACAACACTACACACTCAAAACCCAGAAGAACATCATCTCTGTCATGTTTATAATTGTTTAAAATTTCCCATCACATCAAATTTAATTTACATAACTAAAATAATTCATCAGCCACTGCCTCAAGTTAAAAAAATGAAAAAAACACACTTCTTAAATTATTAGAAAGAAGAGGCAGAGACACTATACTAACTTTATTTTGGAAATATACCTGAAATGGAATTGCTATTATGATACATATTCAGTCACTTAATGAGTTCCCTGAACTGTACCATTGATCAGTTCACGCAGCAAATAATATTCAGAAAAGAGACTCTAAACTAAACTAAACATTTCTACTCATATCAACAGTGTGTACAGCTGTGATTTGTGTCTATAAAATTAAATACTCTCCAAGATTCATGATATGGTAGATTAAACCATGGTACCTGGAATTATGTAGTTTATCCTCCAGTTCCTTGACCATCTTCAGGGTGACCACACGTTCATCTGCAGGCTTATCATCTACTTCAAAGTCACTTTCATCACTTGCAACCTGCCACAAAACAATGAATAACAATGTCATGGAGAGAGATACAAAAAGAAAATTATACTGACAACTGTCCAAATAACTTTATCAGCATTTTTCTCCTTAGAATTTCATCTACTTAATAACAAAATTTCCTATTAGTGGTTTTAATTTACAACTTAACCATACACAACAATTCTTCCCTGAAAATGACATATAAATATCCTTTCAATGGTACAAATGTTTCCAGCTTTTCACCTTCTTAACCAAGACTCATATACAAAATACATGAAAATGAAAACTAAGCTCCTAGCATCAGTCTGTGATGGGTCACCAGATCCTGTTTCAAGGGTTACATTGCTTCAAATACAAGCAAAGAGATGAAAACATATATTCTAGAATTGTCATGTCTTTAACTCACCTCCAGGTCCTGTATTGGTTTGTGTATCTGGTCTTCCTCCTCATCTTGATCCTCATTTTCACTGTCTGATACATTGAACTGAAGCAGTTTCCTATCATTCTGTTCAAGGAACTTATAGAATTCTGGGTCAGTATCACGCAGCCTTTCCAGAGACCTTTTGTGTGTGTAGTCATCAAACACATTACTATTATCAGAGCCCTCAGCATCATCAACAGAACTGCCTGCATTTTCTTCATCATGTGACTCACTACCATGTGAGCCCACATCATCATCATCATCAGACTGTTCTTCATTTTCACCCTCAATAGACAAATCTGTGAAACAAAAGAGTCAAGTGCATAACATGGCATCCATCACTGAAATGATTGTAAATATCACTTCATGATACCCACCAACAAAGCACAGACATTGTGTCCTACAGGAAGTTTTTTAAGCCAAAGCTGCTCACAGGCCATGATATTACTATAAAAATCTATTGAAAGAACCAATTTTAAAAAAAGTAGAAGTGGCTTACTGTAAAAGACCAGCAACTTTTAGGATACAATTATAAAGCATGTCAAAGCAAATGAAAAACAATAAATACCACAATGTGGCAAGTCAGCTTCTGTGACCTTCACAAACAATTCACTCTACCCCAAGACATTCACAATTAGCCTAGTAGGACCAAGGGGCCCAAGAGGAAAATAGAACACCGTTTTCCTCCTACCAGTCAGCCGCCTTGAGACAGATGCAAAACCAATTTTGGAAGCATCACAGTTTTAATTTAAAAAAAAGGTCATAGATAAAGTTCAATGGAAAAATATACACATTATCATACAATAATCAGAAACCTTGATGCTTGGGATTTCTATATCAAATATAGCCAGACTTGTAACAGAAGCTGTGTCAGATGGCAGGATGCCAGGGAACTGTTGTAAAGAAACTTCATTTACCAGATTACTTCAAATTCCTATTTGTAAGTTTAAAAACAGTATCATATGCAATTGTTTTGTTCATTTACAGGTAAACACATTTTTCAAAGAGAGCAGCAGAGAGTTTTATGCTGTCAACCATCATATCAAGAATGTAACTTCAAATTTAGTTTGTTCTACTCAGATTTCTAACAGTGTCACATATTGTTCTTTCTTGATATGGATCCAAGCACGTTACAAAGACATACTAAAGTGCATACCTTCTTCATGTTGGTCTTCATTCATTGATAAAGTTATATCATCCAACAAGTCATCAGAATTGTCGACGTCACCGATATCACTGTCTCCAGATTCATCAAAAGCAGAGCTCATGAATTCATCTACACTCAAAGCACTTAAGTCAACATTATTAGATTTCTTACCACGTCCATTTGTTAAATTCACTACTTTCTCAGATTTTTTCCCCTTTGGTTTGCCTGGCATAATGAGTATTACCTTAAATCAGTACACACCTGGAGAAAATTAACAATGTACGATATTTTAAGGACCTAACCTAACTCTCGGAATGTTCACTCCAAACACGTGTTGCACGTAACAGATTAGATTTGCGATAAAACCTGGACCAAACAACAGTTCTGTTGCGAGCTCTAGTGTTGAGGTAAAATCGTAACTGCATATCCTGACTTACAACCTTAGTACATTTAATTTTTATTTGTCTTTATACAAAAAATATACACAACAAATTAAACTTTCACACGATAATGACGTCCAGAGATTATCATGCCAAAATCGAAGGATATTGGCGACACAGGCAGCGAGTATAGAAGAAGAAGCATTATTGTCTCACTGAACTTTATCATAGCAGCGTTTCCAAAGGTCACTATACAACATTCTTTATCTGAAAATATGATATATAATGCACTTAGAAAACAGTTATAATCTTGTCATTGTGCATTATTGTGGGAAATCTGAAAACCATATTTGGTGCTTGAGCTATCCGTGTGACGGTCAGGAATGTCAAGTACAGTATAAAATACGTACTAGTTCACACTGTACTATAATCTATTTTTAGATGTTCTTTACATTTTTGAGCAGGTAAAGAACAATGTTCGTGCCCATTCCGTCAGTATGTCGCATCTTGCAGCCGAGGAAGTGGTACTATCAACTGTCAATAGCCCTACAGAGTAGTTTCATAATGTTAAATTTGATGTTGAGAAGTATTTCATAGAAGAATATCATGTATCAAGGAGAGTCGGTTCCTTTTCACTCTCATGCTGTGAATCACAAAACTCATTAAGAAGAGTCAGTTACTGCTTCTCGGAAGTATTTTACCATCTCTTGACAATTCAGGTCAACAACTTATGACTTTTCAATAGAAATTACAAGTTATTAATGGAAATACAAAAACAAAGAAAGCACCCATTTCCTAATTTGAACTCTCCACAGCAGTGGTCCCCAACCTTTTTGTGCCTACGGGCACATTTGAGAGTTTAAGAGATCGTGGCGGGCACCAACCAATTAACAGAGCCAAATTTCCTTTTCTCTGGACAAATAAGATATGGACACCAAATAATACACAAAACAACACGACGTTTAATGATACAAGAAACCACGCAATCAAAAAATACGTACTTTTATAAGTACAATTATTATTACTCAAGTGGGAAGTTAGTGTGATGTTTGGCACTGCATTTCATCGGCCAGTTTTTCAAATTTGGGAGTGTAGGATGATGTTGCTGCTCGCAAACAATCGTCAACAAGATGGGCATTAGAAAGTAGAGATCTGTGCTTTGATTTTGTAATGTTCATGGTTGAACGGCCTTCATTATTCAGTATAACCTCTTTCCATATCAACGCGGGCACCCAAAAAAGCCTTGTTGGGTGCCCGTGGGTACTGCGTTGGGGACCACTGCTCCACAGAATAGTAACAAAGTTTCAAACTGTAATGGCAAGACATTTGTTTTCAATTGCACTGTTAACTGTTGCTTTTCATGCAGTTTATTCAGAATCTGCTCTGCTGTTAGTTAGCCTTTGAAACCAAAGCTTGTCTAAATAATATTTAAGAACAGTTTCTTCCATGAAGAAAATACTTTGCCATCATAAATATCAATTTGTTAATACTGTGAGGCCAGCAGCCAGCCAGTTGGCTTTGGCTCTCATAGGGCTGTTATGCCACGGATTATTATTAATACTGTTCAAGGAAGTAATTCTTGTTTACACTGAGAATCATAAATAAACCATCAATACAAAATGCAGAGTTGCTAATTTATAAAGCAGGTGGCACATGTAATTACCATTCTTTTTTCTAATGTAAACATTAACAAAACATTGTCCACACAAAAGATCTTACAATATGTGTACAATACTTTTGGGTTGGACAGATCAAATATAAAGCTCATCATGTGAGCACTCACATGAACAACAATCTTCAATTTATGTGTAGTTTCACAGCAAATCGTAATTAACATTATATTAGGCCTGTAGTATTTTCAGATAAGATAAATGAATCTATGTAATTGAAGGAGGATTCTTTAGGAGATCCCTTACATTGGCAAAAGTTCCATTGTTAGGTTCAGGTGTCACTCCCAATATGGTGCTGAACAATGTGTAATAGTCAACTGTATCAAATGGCTGTATTCTGTGTCCACTCTTCACTAACGGACCACTTGCTATGAAGAATGGCCGCATACAATGTTCACTGTTGTCATAGCCATGTAGACCCAGAGTGGTATTTGATGTCACTGGCAACATGAAAAATGTAATTGGTATCAACAATATATTCTCTGAAGATTTTTGTATTCTGGGTTGTTGCGCTGTGTAGACTGGTCTATGTTAACCAACGTTTCAGAGGTCATACTGCCTCCGTCATCAGGCTACACAGAGCAACAACCCAGAAGACAGAAATCTTCATACTCACCGCTGTGAAAACCTCAAATCTTACAAATATATTCTCTTCTTAAAAGAAAGGCGTCGGTGTTCAAATTTGACATACTCTTTAAGTATTTTGACAAAAATAACCTCCCAAGCATAAAACAGGTAAACAGCAATTAGGTCTGTTTGTAAATCATAACTATTAACATTAACTCATTTTAATAACAGCTATTTAAGTGTGTTTGTTTTGTGTGTGGGGTTCTTTTTTGTGATTCTTAAAAAATGTTCCTATATGATGTGCCATTGCATACCACCAAAAAAGAAAACCCTACGCACCAGAATATAAAGTATGAAGTTACTTTCAAAATAAGTTCTCACTTGTTGTTACAAATTATTTCCTGCCAGAAGTTAGCACTTTCCAGCTGCACATTTGTAAAGTTCTTAGAATAAGTCTTAACTCTACTGAACCATCATTGACAGTGTGAGTGATGTTCATGTAAAGTGCATCTGCTTTTGAGAACACCACTCACTTCTAGAAACCCACTATCAGTCTGTCAACAAAACAGTGTCAGATACAGAAAATTATCAAGGGGAAAACAAAAATATAACACTAAAGAAGAGTCTCTAAACTGTTTCCAAAGATGGATATAATGGTGGAAAATACAAATAGAGATAATAATCCAAGTTTAAACATGCTGTATAATGATGATAGTTGATGGTGCAAGTGATAATGAGGCCAGTGGAGGTGAAAGACTTTGGACTTCACATGATCCCACATCTACTTCAGTTTACAGCAATCTTCTTCAATTTATAGAATGACTGTATGGATATCCATATGCCACTACATACAAGACACAGCCATGCCTCAGAAAGTAATGTATAAATACAAATTACCTCAGAGACATATTATTTGGATTGTTTCTTCTTGAAACCAATCAAAATGTGTCAAAATAAATACTGCAACAGTAATACAGAGCTTCTCTGTATAAGCACTACATCTTTTCCTAAATAAATAATTCTGAAGATGGCTTCTTCCGAGTTGTGCTGTGTAGTCTGGAAGAACGTTTACAGACATTTCAGGCTGATCACCCTGATGATGGAGGAAGCAAGCATATCTGAAACATTGTCTACAAATAAATCCACCCATTATATACAGTAGATAAATTATACTAGCCATTTATAAACAAATATGTGCTTGACAAAAAACCACAGTAAGTTCAAATATAATGTTAAAAGAAATAATATACGAAAAGTCCAAAATGAGTTGTTCAGAATTTTAGACTTATGCTGAACATTAATTACAATGCCAGAAGACAGCCATCTTGGTATTCACCAATGTGAGAACCTCAAATCTCCAACACTTAATCCTGACTTTTGTCTAGTGACGATCCACAACAATCAAGGACCTCACATCACTTAAATGGATAGATGTCCCACAACCATAAAAGTACATCAATGGGTTAATAAAGTAAAGTAAAGCAGTCCTGCTGTACACCAAGTAGGCACTTGGGGGGGCGGGGAAAGTTAAAAATCTGCAAATTCTTACATGTTCTATTCAACTTCTGATACCATTCAATTAGATCCTGGAATGCATAGCCGGTGTCAGCTACAGCCAATAAGGGAGGAGTACGTGGACTCTGTCCATAATGCCATCGCTGAGGAAGTTCATTTGACTGATAAATGGAAAAATTGGCTGTCCGTGACGCAGTTTTCAATGTATTGTACACTATGGTTTGCTTTCCTGAAACAAGTCATTACAGTGAAACACCAATCAAAGCTTTGCCTGGGAAACAAGCATTTTTTACCTCAAAGTAAGAAAAACCTTTAATGGGGGTTATATCAAAATGAAACAGAAAATAATTTCTTAGGTTAAAGAACACTAGCCTGTCACTGACTACTGTTCTTTTTTTCCATTACATACTCTTTGTGTGTGTGTGAATTAAGGCAAAGAAATTACGTTTGCCCTTCCATTCCAACACATTTCTTACTCAGTAGCCTGGATTTTTTCATAAGAGCTTTTAAAGTATCTTGTTTGGCTAAAACATATGTGAAAGCTAATGGCATTAAAAACTTTGCAACACAAATACATTCACTCCCATACCTGAGTTTGGTAGTTTATCAGTGCTTTGTTTGAAAGAGGTTATGGAGTTATCAGAATCTTTTATCCTTTGTCCTACTTACATTATGAGACTGTCACTAAGAAGAATTTAAACAGATATAGAAATACCTTTCGATGGACGGATCTGTAACACTGGAGACGAGTCCACTATTTGGAAAAATGCTTTGTCAACATACTGTGAGAGATTGAATATCCTCTGAGGAGTGACTGTTGCCATGCCATGGTCACTCAGCAACACCACATTAACCTTATCAAGAAGGTTCTTGTTTGTGAGACGCTGACGGACATAGGTTGCAATATTGTCTACCTAAAATCACAAGGGAACGTAAGCAAGTCTATGGAGCAGAGTCCTTCTAGGGAAGTTAACAGTTGCTCATCTACTTCAAAAATCCTTTCCCTTATGGAACCTGAAGACTAATTACTTTGTATACAAGAGTGAAATGTTTGCATAATAAATA